GTTACTCATCCTAGCCCAGACACCCTGAAAATCAATCAATCATATTTTTACATTTTCTATCTTGGACTTCAAAATTGTTATCCTTTTATCCTTACAATCTCTAAGCTTCTTTGTGGCGCTCATTTCTCCTCTACTTAGCACTAATAGAATCAATTTTTATCCTTTTTAATGTAGGATTAAATGTATATTACTACAAAGATTTAGCTAATCATATCTGCCGGTATTCACATCTTTTTTATATAGTTTTTATGAAAATTGAAATTGAGAGTTATTACAAGTGATTTTCTCTAAAGTGTTCGGTTAGAACGGATGAATTTGACATCCAGGAAACGTAGCCCTCAACCTCTCCCAAATTAAATATGAGTTGGAGTCTTTTATCAAACTTTTATTTAAACTTAGAGTTAATTATAAATTTTCTTTTTCATTCAGCTAAAGTGCATATGGTTATTAAGGTACCACATTAGCAATCTTGATTGCATGAGAAAAACCTCGAATTCTTCGTCTAATTTGTTCAAGTATTCGCTTGTAAAAGAGGTAAAATTGGAGACAAGATAAAAAAAGAGACGTGCAGCTTGATCCCACTAGAATACAATGTTGGATTTCTCTTGAACATCTGTCGCTTGCTTTTTTGAAGCTTTTTCTGATGCAATCTTATTGGCTTCTCTTAACAACATGCTAAGCTTTTGTCCATCACACGACGGACATCATTAGAGCGGTGTATCATCCTCGTAACCATATCTTTGCTAATAATTAAAGAAAACTCTTAAGTTTGGCTATGGCTGCATAGATTCGTGGATGGCAAACCGGTAATTTTTGAAGAAGCTTATTTGGATGCATCCAATATTTGCCACATTATATTATTATCTTAATTATTTTTTTTCAAGCATTACTTTTTCATTTTCTCAATACCCGCCAATAATATCATCAATTCTAGAAAATTGAAAATAAAATATTCTAGAACTTATTTTAACAGTGTTTGGACTGTTGATTTCATTCTCCTTCTAGGGACTTTGTAGCCGCAAGACTAGATATAATGTAACAGTTTGAAGCGAATTGTGGCATTGTTGGATTTTTATCTATTGGTTTTATTTCAGAATTGCTCTATTATCTATACGCTTATATTACTTATGAGATTATGGGAACATCTTTTGTCTTAAATTAGGCTTTATAAATTTAAAGCGCTTAATCATATTTGTAGTGTCTACTATGAAAGAATTACGATAGTTTTGTTCTGCGTCGAATTGTGAACAAGTTGTATTAAGCAGCAGAATATTAGCCTTCAAACATTATGCTTTAAATATTGTATTTTTATTTTTACTACAGCTACAGTTATCTAGTGTTCTTTGTTAAATTGAAACAAATTCACTCGTGTTCAGATAAACACCTACATTTTTTCCTTAGTAAAATTTGCCGGATCTGCCTTTATAAACAAAATTGACCTAAGGGGTTAATAAGCACATAGGCAAGAATTACTGATGACATCGAAACACACATGTAGCGAAGATGATTAGCCATGCCTATTTAAGATAGAAGGATTAATATGGTGTGACCTTGTTTTTAATCAAATTCTTGAATAACAGTAAGGCTATGATTTGAGCTTGTTTTTGATATTTTACCGGATAAATAAGGAGACGCTGGGGCATATAACTAGACTTGTATCCAGGACAATTGATTTTATACTCCTTATTGATATCCTGAACCAAAAGTTAAGTTTTTAATTCCGAGCTTAATCTCGAGCAACAATAGGCAACACAATATTTTTCTTGTTTATAATAAGGTTTTCAAAACTACCAGTAAATTATTTATGTATAAATTGTATTCACTCTATTTCGTTAAAGGTGATTAGGGGAGTAGTAGTTGAATTGTAAAACAATGCTACGAGTAAAGCTTATGCTTCGATTTAATTTCACATAGCCTAACTTTGAAAAAAGGTATTCTTATCCGGAATGGACTGCAGTCTAGACCTTGCATAGGTCTTATTCATACACTCAGCGGGACTCTAACCATAAAGGCGTAGCGTGTAATCTCGATACGTTAATCACTACGCCAAATTGCCGCGAGTGCCCTTAAGCCACAAGTCAGATGTGAAAATCAAGGAAGGCAAAGTGTTTTCTTATATCATATTCTGTGTTGGGATAATTGATGAAGTAAAATTGTATTTGCTATAGCAATTGACTACGTTACTTATTTTTATATATAAATTCAATTTTGAGACTTCGATAGTTCATATATATAAAAAGTGTATTCACCCTTCGCATCTGCTACATGTCTCAATGAAACTCGTGGCATTGAGGCGTAATAATTTACGTGCCAAGATTATACGCTGCACTCTCATGTTTCGAGTCCCGCTGGGGGTGTCGATAAGAAACAACGCGAGTAGGCAACTGAGGTTCCACCTGGATATGAATACTTTTTGGAAAGAGATATTTATGTAAAGTGTAAGCTATACTCACATCATTTTGGGAAAATTTAAATACTATTCCCCTTACCATCTTAAACGAAATTGGGTAAATACACTGCATAGGCAACACATTGACTAATAATTAAATATAAATACGTTATAATATATAATCTAAATCTATTAATAAAAAATAATAAATTTTATTTAAATATTTTTATCAGCGTTTAAATGATTTATTTAACGCATATTCAAAGGATTCAACTTTAATTACGCGCACTTAGTTCTTGATACTCCCTATTATGATTTTGCCGTTGTTGCTAATGTAAAAGTTATAGTTTATCATAAATATATGTATCATAATTGTTATATAAACTTTATTTTAATTTATAGGATTTCCTTTTTTGGTATTGGAAATGCCCGTACCTTAAATGCCACCTGCGTGCTAATTTCGAGCGACAGACAAACGCCTACCGGAGTCATACGCATCATTCACGATCCTGTAAGTTTTACATATTAATTACTCTTTTTAGACGTCGTCATGCAAATTTAGTCTTAATGGTAGTGTGACTGGATTGTCTGAAGGAAACCACGGATTTCATATTCACAATTACGGTGATTTGTCACAAGGTTGTTTTAGTGCTGGAGATCATTATAATCCACTTTCTCTTGATCATGGAGCCTTAAATGATGAGAATAAGCACTTAGGTGACTTGGGGAACATTAGGGCTGATAATCGAGGGGTCGCAATTGTTCAAATATGTGACACACAACTGTCTTTATCCGGTGAGTTTTCAGTGTTAGGTCGCACAATAGTAGTAAGTTATTAGCCATTTTTTGTTTAATATATTATTTAGGTTCACAAAGATCCAGACGATTTAGGGCGTGGCGCTGAATCAAGTAAAACTACTGGGAATTCGGGTGCTCGTTTAGCATGCTGTATAATCGGAACTGGGACATTGCGTTCATCTTCTTCGCGGACATCCACAATGAGCTATCTATTCTTCGTGTATTTTTTCTTGGGTATAAATCAAATCAGAATGTATCTTTGCTAACAATGTCCAATCTATACAAATTCATCCTTTCTCCGTCTAATATTTTGACTTTATGGCTAGAATTTTAATCATTCAGAATTATATTTCATTCATATCATTTTTCAATCCTATTTTTTATTACTTTTTTGCCTATATTATCAAAAAAATATTTATAACCCGTGACGTATTTGCATTTTGTAATAATAATTTATCACTATATAAAAATTATTCTGATTCATTCATTAATGCAATGAGTATTTACATAAAGGAGTTAGTCATAAATAGATTATTAGATTGTCAAAAATTATTTT